TATACACAAATACATACATGCATACATTCTCATACATACCTACACACATACGTACATACACATACACACATACATACGTACACGCACATATACATACACACATACATACACATATATATGTACATATGCATCCACCATAGCCAGGCTCAAAAGCGTAATTAGGATTTTCCAGGAGAGCGCTTTTGCGATGCGCCCTCACCTTTGAATTTTTCCAGAAACTAATCGTTTTGCTTAACAAGCTTCCAAAAACCCACTCTGTACACAAATCCTGATTTCGTTCAAAATATTCTAGAAGGAAGAAGAATGCCGCCCAGAAATTTTTGTGAATAAGAGCTTCAAAAAAAGTTTTTGAAAAAATGGTATTTTTGTAAAAAACAAAAATCATTGTCTCCCTGCTAATAAAGGCAGCATGAGCTAGCTTCGTGCTAGCTTCGCTGAAAACCGGTAACTGTTAAATGGCTTATTCACTTGCGACTTATTCGGTGAGTAAATTTGCCCTGAAGTGAAGTCTTATTTGCCGAGAAAAACCGTAGTTTGAATGAGACGTTATGTTTTGAAAATGTAACAAACCGTATGTGTTTGAAACTTGTTGCGCGAGATTCAAAAAACAACAGTATTATAAATGACAGATACACATATTTGAACTCCGGTAAAGCAAAAATTAGATGATTACCCTCTCTGACCCTTCTGAATGTCCATCTTCAACTTCTCAAAAATAGCAAATTGTCTAATCCATCCTGAAAGATGAACAGGACAAAAGATGGAAAAAACAAGCCCAGTCAAAAGTGCTTCTAGAGGGCCATCCGGCCGGCAAACCTTTTAAGAGAAGAAAGGAACGTCAGGACTGCCGGGAGGTATTGACCACCAAGCGATGCGGCACTGGTCAAAACAGCCATAAAATTAAGAAAGTAAATGAAACGGCTGTCAAACTATATCAGTGAAGCCGAAGATGGTACGTTTTGATAAATTAAATTCTAAATATCGCAAAAAAAAACTGTTATGTCCAAAAAAAAAGTACCACTCGGACATGAGATAAAACAGGGCCAACTAAGGATAGAGGAAGAAAATAACAAGAATCCATCGCCAAAAAAAGTAAGATGATTCCAGAAACAGGTAGATCATTATTGGATAGTCGCTAGGAAAATGATACCAGCTAAGGGGTCTGGCATTCCAAACTGCCAGGATAGCAGGGCTGAAGATAGAGGCATTGAACACGGCACCAATGTGATATCAATTCTACAATCGCCAGAACTGATAAGAAATCAAAAAACTATACAACACAAAATGCCTTCATTGAAAGATTTTTAAAAGAAAATGAAGAATTTTTATTATTTTAACAACAATCTTCTGTGGATAAACTGGTAAGAAAATGCCAGTTTGGCTGAATGGCCTACTTTGAATTCTAGAAGAAGAAATTCTGAGTGGTATCCTGAACCCCAAAATTTCAAAGACCCTTGGAAAATACAGTCAGTGTAATTTTAGATGGCACTAAGAAATTCTCAAACAGTATCGAAAAAAGCACGTATTCTTCTAAAAATTGTTTTCTTTCCAGGCAATAGCGAAAAAATGAAATTTTTACAAGGAAGCATTTTCTTAGCATTTTCTGAATTTTGAGGATGCAAAGTCAAAACATAGAATTTCAGATTATAAGATGTATGAGAAATTTCTTGTTTCATTATTTTTAATGCCACTTTTCCAGCTTTTTCACGCTTTTTTTCCTCTTCCCTTACATCTCCCCCTCTCCCCTTCTCCTTCAAGAATAAAATCTTCTGAAATTTGTTCTCATCCACGAAGTGTTATTTGTAATATAAACTCACTCTTATTTCCCTTAAAAAGTTACCCTGAAATTTGTCCTTGATAATAAAATCATATTTTTAAACACAAAAATCACACAGTTCTAAGTCAACAATTGCATGCTACACCAACAAACAACTGAAAAATACAGAATTTTTTTAAAAGTTAAAAAATTCAGGGACATGACCAGGAATTCTCATGCACGAATCACTCCCAAAAAATTTCGATACAAAGGGCAAAACTGTTCTCCGCATAAGAATTTAGTGAAAAATACATTTTTTGTGCCTGTTACTCTTCAAAAAAAAAAGTCAAAAATATTAAAAAAACTTCGAAAAGTCAGTACTCCCTCTACAGTTTCTGAGAAACGTGGGGGTATTCAAAAGTAGTTCCAGTGTTAGCGCAATGCACCACTCTCTGGCAACGCTACCAGCGGCTTTCTCATCCTAGGGTTGCTTAGAAGTAAGCGAATGGCGATTTTGACTCAACGGCGTATGCAAGTACCAATTTGTCGATGAAACGAACCAGGATATCCATAACAAATCGAACTGCGCATTTAATAATAAATTTTTATCAGTAGATTATAACTCAAACGTCAACTCCTTATGAACTCTGTGCAAAAGGCGAAGATACTCGTAAGTAATAATCTAAGTAGTAATAACCGCAACAGCAATCGCCCATCGCAGAACTCTCAATCGTTCATTCTTTCGAAGATAAATACCAGGAGTACTAATACCGCCTGGGCAATCGGACTGATTAATCACTAATACTTAAAGGACCATTTTTCCAATGTAAATTTTTTAAATTTCCAAAAAACGCCTCACTCGAAATTCCTTGCCACACCACTGTTACAGTTTTACTGGCATTTTGGACATCTGCTTATCGTCCCTTCTTTCCACAACGACATTAATCTCCCCCGCTCAAATATCTTCTTCCCTCTCAAATCTGGGACGTCGATTTTTACAAGCACAAAAACACCAAAATTATAGAAAAAAGAAAATTTTTAAGTGAGTATCACGATGAGGTCGCTGGTGCCACAACGGTTCGCGTCCTTGGCCTTCTGACCAACCGTAGCACCACATCGATTAGCACCAACATAGAGGGAATTATAACCAAGCCATGCACAACGCATAAAAAGATACATAGCACCATCATTCGCACAAAAACCTAAAATTTAAAAACCCACAACTTTGAGATAAGCATCGAACAGGCGCAAAGAAGCTAACAGTTGATAAGAAGCTTTGCTGTTCTCTGATTAGATTTAAAGCCCGACTCTGACCAGTCCTTCTATGATTCGTTCATTCGTTTCGATGATCATTTGGTGCCAGCAAATGCTAAACAGTCAAGACGACTAAGAAGTAGAACGCGAGGGGACAAGACTGGCAAGCATGCCAATGCTATTACTACTGGGCAATTTCTGCTGCTCCAGTCAATTCCAAGTGTTTGTGTCCCATAAACGACTGCTAGTTCACTCATATTCACTCATATTACTAGATCACCCATTCACATTCACTCATATTCGGAATGCCTGTTGGCAATGCAGCCTCATACATAGAATGAAATGTAGAAGGAATTTAACCCCTCCCCTTTTCTTAAATTCAAAAATTTCTAAATAAAAAACGTACCTGTGCCATATAAAGCGGTATAAACAAAAGGCCAAGCACACACAAACTCGTGCTTGCCGATGCTTGCAATGCAGGCAGTGCTACGGACGCAAAACATATCCGTAACTTCTCAGCAACCGTTAATCGACGATCGACACCCGCACCTGGAACAAGACTCATTAGAATACAAGAGTCGTAGGTACAGAAAAAGGAAACCCAACTTCCATATTTCCTGGAAGCAATGCCTTACTTTTTTCTAGAAACTATAACCGTTTCAGATACACGTGTAATCGCCATAAGATTGCGTTCTGTAGTTCACGTGGCGATGCACTTCCGG